AAATCAGTCAATTTTAACCTTCAATATTAATGCAGTACCAACTGACTCTCATGTATATTTTACAGCATTAGTTGAGAGATTTTTTTTTTATTTGAGAAAATTTGGCATGTACTGTACCTGATATATATCCAAAATAATCGATATTGAATCGAATCGAATCGTGAAATTTGTGTCAAAACCCAGTCCTAGTTAATATATCTATATATATCTATATATATATATATATATATAATAAAAAAATGACATGACATATCTAATAAATGTTACCTTGGAGCACAAAACCAGTCAAAAGGGTCAGTTTTTCGAAATTGAGATTTATACATCATCTGAAGCTGAATAAATAAGCTCTCCATTGATGTATGGTTTGTTAGGATCGGACAATATTTGAAAATCTGGAATCTGAGGGTGCAAAAAAAATCTAAATATTGAGAAAATCATCTTTAAAGTTGTTCAAATGAAGTTCTTAGCAATGCATATTACTAATCAAACATTAAGTTTTGATATATTTACGGTAGGAGATTTACAAAATATCTTCATGGAACATGATCTTTACTTAATATCCTAATGATTTTTGGCATAAAAGAAAAATCAATAATTGTGACCCATACAATGTATTGTTGGCTATTGCTACAGATATTCCTGTGCTGCTTATGACTTAAGTACTTATGACTGCTACTTTTGTGCTCCAGGGTCACATATGTGTATTTTATTTAATTTCTTTATATATAAAAGTATTATTTACATTTTTGAATTTATTGTAATTTTTTAATTACATACAATTGTTTTTTTTTGTTGAGAATTACTTAATTTTTTTTTAAATTTATTATATTAATATTGTAATTATATATGTATTATATAATTATTTTATCATTTAAAATTATATTTTCTATTTTTATATTATATATCATATTATATTATATATATTTTAAATTAATTATATAGTTTTTTTTATCATTATGCAATTATTATTTATTTTTTGAAAAGGTGTATAATTTATTTTAAACTACATAAAAAATTATATTTGAATTTTTTGAAAATATATAAATTTTTATAAGGTTATTATATACCAGTTTTTATTTTATTTTAAACAATTACAATTTTTTAATTTGTTGTATTTTTGGAAATGTATAAATTTTCAAATTATACAGATTTTTTTATTTATTATATATATTCTCTCTATACACACACACACACACACTCTCTCTCTCTCACACACACTCCCTCTCTCACACATGGACACACACACACACACACACACAGAGAGAGACAGAGACAGACACACACACACACACACACACACACACACAATATATCAGCATATAGAATGATTTCTGAAGCAACATGTGACACTGAAGACTGGAGTAATTATGCTGAAAAAAAATTTATAATATATATAGTTGATAAAATTGAGTATATAACCCAGTATTTGTGTTTTTCTTTGCAGCATGTTTATATCAATCTTTACTGGAAACAATTGTGAGTGAATGGACTGCATCTGTTTTGAACGTTAAAAATCCTCAACTTACGAGGTTTCATTGCTTTAGACCGCGAGGCGGCTCACTAGGGTTTGGAACGGAGCCGTTTTGTACCTTATTCAACAATAAAGAGGCTTTACAGCCTGAAAATAACATAATTAGCAACATGAAATCCTAAAATAACCAGGAGCGTCTACAGCTGCGCCAACTGAGGCTGAACTCCAGCTGAAGTTACGCAACCAAGACGAGAAATAAATCAAGGTTGAAGAGAGACAGCACGATAAAGAGAAAGACAGAATAAATTTTACCTGCTCTGATACTGAAGATGAAGTTACACAATCGATGTTACTTTAGTATCATTCAGATATTAATATTTTGAATTAGTATTTAGTTTTATATGTTCCATTTTAATTTAAATTTTAGATACATTTAAGTTTTAATTGGTAATATTGGTGTGTATTTTACATTTATCCAAAGCGACTTACAAATGAGGACAAAGGAAGCAATCACAATCAACAAGAGAGCAATGATACACAAGTGTTATAACACGTCTCAGTTATCTAAACGCAGCACACGAAGCAAGGTTTTTTTATTATATAATAAATAAAAACAAAACTGATATAATAGAAAAAGAATAGAGCAAGATAGTGTTAGAGGCCTTTTTATATACGTCTGTATGGGTTTTTATTATTTTTTTGGTTTTGGTTTTGTTTTTTAAATAAATTTGCTTTGGATAAGATTTGCTGAAATAAAATGTTTATATTTTTATTTATTTAAATTTTTGATTTTAGTTAACTATAATATTGTGAGCAGTGTTGGGGAAAGTTACTTTTAAAAGTAATGCATTACAATATTGCAACTAAAACTATTAAAATGTTTTTGCCAATTAAAATAAAGCTAAAATAAAATTAAATAAAAATTGTCACACTTTTTCAAAGTACAAATGCTGCCTTTATGCACTAAAATTAACTGGAAATAAATAAAAATTTAAAATAAACTAAAAGTAAATTAAACATTACTATTAATATTTTTTTAAATGACAAAAGAACATAAGAAAATTACTAGAAATTTAACTGAAAATATAAAAATAAAATCTAATTTAAAACATTAATAAAAACTATAATAACACTGACACAAACCAGGGTTATTAGTTAACTGAAAATTAAATATAACTAATTTTAAAAATACTTAAATATATATATTTTTAAAAATACAAAAAAATATAAAATTAAAGCTAATTCAAATATAATAGTATATAAATAATACTAAATTAACACTGACCCAAACCAGTATTATTAGTTAACTAAAATTAAATCTGAAATAAAATATCATGAAAAATACTTGCACGTATATAAAAAGAAATCTACTAAAAATATAAAGATAAAAGCCAAATTAAAATAACAATAAAAATTATCATAATGTCTAAAAACACACACACACACAATTACAAAAAAAAAAAATTTAGCCAGCACCTGACCAATTGGTCCTAGCACTTACCTATTCTTTTTTATTCTATTCTATTCTATTCTATTCGGTCTAATTTATTTAAAAAAATAAAAAAAACACTTTGCTATATGTACTGTGCTAGACTAACCGAGACTTGTCACTTGTATACTGTTTGTATAAAAAAACTTAATATTTTTATAGTGTAAATATAAATATGTTAAATATTTTTGAATTATTTAAATTATACAACATTTTATAAAATACATTTATTTAGATTTTTACAAAAAATCTAAATGTGAATAAAATGTATAATATTATCTCAGTGACAATACACTGACACACACACAAACACAAACACTCACACACACGCACACACACACTCACACTCACACACACGCTCACACACACTCACACTCACACTCACACTCACACACTCACACACACACACGCTCACACACACTCACACTCACACTCACACACTCTCACACACGCACACTCACACACACACACTCACACTCACACTCACACACACGCTCACACACACTCACACTCACACTCACACACACGCTCACACTCACACTCACTCACACGCACACGCACACTCACACTCACACTCACACACTCTCACACACGCACACTCACACGCACACTCACTCACACGCACACGCTCACGCTCACGCTCACACACTCTCACACACGCACACTCACACTCACACGCACACGCACACGCACACGCTCACACTCACACTCACACACTCTCACACACGCACACTCACACACACACACACACACACACTCACACTCT